CGAAGATCGTAGAACACTTTTGGGACTGTTCGATGTCCATGACAATCGAACAGATCTTGATCATCAGTATACGCACGTGTAACGTCTTCCTTCTCATCTTTATTGTATCTAACCTTCAAAGTGAAAGTGCAAAGTATGACCTTCTCAAACACGCTGTGGATTATGTACGTGTACATGTGTGGGTACGCCCGATGATGAGGAATTAGAAGTTCATCACGTACACAGAGCTAGGAAGAAATAAATTGCGCCATTGTCAGTACTTTGCGCAAATTGAGAGGCGGTTTGAATTGCTTCAATGGCATTGCCATTACGAGTTCATCTTGAGTAACCTCCTCATCTAAAACAGTGAAGAGTGCTCGTTTATCTCTGTAGTTAATTCAGTTTATACTCTTTTTTTTATTTTTCTGATCGCAGTACTGTAGAAATGTTGAAAACTCAGTTGGTCTCCTTGATTTAGATTCCACACTATCACCGCTTAAATTTGCATTATATTAGCCTTTTAACAATAATTGTTGAAACGTTCAGCTCCCACATGGATGCGATAGCCGTGACGGGCTCCAGCGGCTTGGCAGGGCGTTTTATCGTCGAGAGGCTGGTCAAGTCTGGACGATATAAGGAGATTCGACTTATTGATAGAGTACCACTAGCACATACAGGTAAGTGCTACATTCTTCTAAAAGCTTAAGGCTAGCTTTACCCTGACCATATTTTTCGTACCTTTTTGCTCCGTAATGCCTAATTCTTTTCGCAAAATCGTAATAACGTACCACCTTTTAGGCACTGACAGCGTTCAACTTCGCCACTATGTCTTCGACATTAGCGATGAAGGAGCTCTTGAACGTGCCCTACAAGGTTGTACAGCCGTTGTGCATTGTGCTCATGCCCCAATTCCATGGAAGTACCAGAATAAGAAGGAAACCGAAGAGATGTGGAGAGATAATCTCACTAGTAAGCTTTTTCCCTTTACTTTATTGCAGAAAAGTCGCTTACCTTGGTATTTTGCTCTCGTGCAATCAAAAATCGAAATTGTCCATTCGTTTTTACTTTGGAGTTTATGACTGCTTGCGCTGTAAATCTTTGGAATCCAGAACTAACCCGAAACTTTGATTTTATGACCCGAAATTGAGTAAACGAGAATTAATACGACATTCTTACTGTAATTGTCACAGGTCTCTTTCTGCTAAAAACCAGTTAAACGTCTATATCACGCTTCTAAAGTTCTAAGAACAGTTGTGTGTTTACAGGAAATAACTTAATGCGCACTTTTGTTTTCTGTAAGTGAACACATTAAAATGAAGTTTTCTGACTGTCAAAGTATGTAAATAACAAGTAAATAGTTGTTTTTGCTTGATTACGAATATTTAGAATTTTTCACTATTTATTTATTCTCTTTTAAAAAGATTCGTGCGTTACCGCTTTGCGATAGATATTTTTAGCACTATAAATTTTTTTTTGTCTTGTGGCACAATACATGAGTGGTAGCTAATACTAACTGATGAGTCTTATTTACGTCCGTCGAAGATGCAGTACTGCTACAGATTTTCGCCTTAGATGAGAAAAAACTTCAAGTGATTCGTACACAACTAAATCAGGGACCGACCAGTAGT